TATTATTGATTACAATTTAGTTATAGTTTTAAACAACGGATCGATCGCAGAGTCGGGAACACCGGAACAGCTCTTAGCGGACAACACATCCATCTTCTACTCAATGGCCAAACAGGAAAAACTTGTCAAATAATGAAAAAAATATGTTATAATTATTTAATTGTTTGAATGTATTTTACAATGACTCTTACAATAAATAAATTATGACAAATATCTAATTATTAATTATCTATTATAATTTCTAATACAATGATTAAATATGTTATTATTTATATTAAAAATAAATTTAATAATTTCACTTAAGAAAAATACATAATATGAATGTAAAAATAAATATTATATGTAAATATTGTTTTGAATATATTTTTGCAAAAGTATAAATAGATTGATTTTTAATTAAATTATGATTAAATACATTAAAATATAATAATTAAAACAGTAATTTATTATAAATACAAACATGAAAAAAATTATTTTAACCATGGTCAGATCTAAAAGTTATTTACAGAGAGTAAAAAGTAGATCACCAGATGTGAGCTGACATGGATTTATAATTTAATACCCAAATATTGTAACTATTGTTTAATTAATGTTTGTAAAACTGTACGGACTATCATGTGATTGTCAATACATGTATCTCAATTTAATTCATTGATTAAGATAGACGGTACAATGTACATATTGCGTAATGTACTGCACATTTATACCATTCTAAACTAACATAAATTATTACTAGAGAATTAAATGTACCTGTATTGATAATAATGACATTTCATGGAAATTATAATTTATGTGTATATAAACAGATGTAGGTGTTTAGTTGTACTGTATTTCAGTAAACTGAATTTAATTTCATAATAAACATGATTTAAATGAATCATAATAAATATGCCATGCTGGAACATTAGATATTACAATGATTAATATAATATATTTACAAAAATGATGAAATGTAATCAAAATCATGTGTAAAATTTATTTTAGTAAACAATAAAGTTATATAACTCTCACGTATAAATACAACTAGCTTTACAATGTTGTGTTAATTTGTATTTTATCGTTATTATAATAAAAATAAAACATTTTAATAATAATCGTTACTGTATATAAATTAGAAAAATATTATTTCTACCTTCATGAAAACTAATTAATAATTCACAATGAACAACGATTTATACACCGAACTAACCATGGTGATTATACCAATAATCATGTTACTTTATGACACCTACAGTAAGCTATGGATACCAACATTAACTAAAGCAACACAACTTCACATCCCATGGACTGTAATAACTGTCACAAAAACTGTATGAAAATTTTTACTACTTTTTACATACTTTTAATTTACAAATTTGATTATTAATAAATTTCCATTTAATTAATTAATAAATAATAAACTGATTTTTAAAAATAATTAAATACTATGTTTTAATAGACGTTAACAACAATATTATTAACGTTAAGTTTGGATCAACTTTTGGATACACTCGAGAACACAACTAATGAATATAATGTTGCAAATGTTGCCAAACTGTTTACCCCGATTGTCAAGTGCTTAACTTTTGTAAGTAAATTAATAATTGGTTAAGTTTATTAATTAAATAATTATTTTAATTATAGATTTATATAATTGTTTTGTCGACTACTTCACCAAAATGTGGTCTCAATTCACAAGTTTTGTTCAGATTTTGGCTGTTTTTGTCGATCGGAACCGCTTTCGTGATCTCTTTGCCAAAACAATGGCCGACATTAGACTCGTTAGGCGAAATCAAAGTATTCACATTTACCACAAAATCGCTTTCATTGACAATAATTATCATTCAATTATTGGTCTCATATTTTGTGGACTCAACACAACATCAAGTCTTTACAGACGTTGACAGCAAACAAGTAATAATAATTATTACTTGTTTTTAATCAATTATTGATTAAAACTTTTAATAATGTTACTTTTAACTAATTATGATTACAAATATACTATAAACTAATTATGTGTTTAATCGTCAGAAATGCCCCAAAACTGACTCCTCATTCGTGTCTCGGCTGACATTTTCATGGTTTACACCAATGATTATGAATGGCTATCGGAAACCATTGACCACTGAAGACATGTGGCCACTGGAGGCCCACAATATGGCCAATAATTGTGTCCAACAATTCAACAAACATTGGCGTCCAGTAACCGAAAACAAGATCAAAGCACCGGTCAATATATTGCCTCCAATTCTGCGGACATATGGCCCGAGTTTAGCACTTAATTCAATGTTAAAACTGTTAGCAACTCTACTAACTCTATCACAACCTGTAATACTCGACCGATTGATCACGTTTTTGACCACCAGTGACCAGAGCACAGCTGAATCCGATTGTATCGGCTATACATATGCATTGTTATTATTTGTCTGTCCAGTGCTGGCCTCAGTTCTGGACGCACAGCACGACTACTGGTCTAATGTGATTGGTATGCGAATGCGGACATCGATTACGTCCATATTATATGAAAAAGTTGGTCATTTATGTTTAAAATGTTTAATTGTAACTAAACTTTATTACAAAACAGGCCGTAAAACTGTCGAGCAATGGCCGCAAAGACATCACCGCCGGTGATTTGGTGAACCTGGTCTCTACCGACATGAAGTTTATTGTGTTTTTCTTATCGCTTTACCACACCCTATGGGTTAGTCCATTGAAATTGTTTGTGTCAATCGGGTTATTGTGGGCACAGTTGGGTGCGGCCAGTCTGGCGGGTGTGATATTAATGGTAATTCTTGTGCCCATCAATACATTCCATACGTCAATATCGAACCGCATGTGGGCTGAGCTACAGAAGCGTGCGGCCGGTCGAGTGTCCGCTATTACCGAGATATTAAACCACATAAAAGTGTTGAAGTTATACGCGTGGGAACAGTGTTTCATTGATAAGGTGTCGGCGCTCAGGGCCAGTGAGGTGGACATGTTGGACCAGGCCATCAAGTCTAGTATTTGGACCTCCTTTATGTTTAACTCGAGCGGAATTCTCGTATGTTTTTATACACTCGAATTCAATTGCTATTAACTCAGGAGCAAATGCTTTTTACTTACGGTCAAATCATTTTTGCGTTCAGTCTATTCATGATTACAGCAGTGAGTGTTGTATGCAATCAATGCGACGTTTCATTCGATTGTTGTCGCAGTGCTTCCAATACAACACTCACTGATGTAATAATGAATAGACTGAACGCAAAAATGATTTGACCGTAAGTAAAATTATTTGCTCCTAAGTTAATAGCAATTGAATTCGAGTGTAACATATTATTATGATTTGTAATGTATTTATATAATAATTTGTTATATTTTGATATATAGGTATCACTACTCAGTTTTACAACATTTACGCTAATCTCTGACCACAATATTCTGGACGCAAATAAGGCTTTTGTCTCCCTATCGTTGTTCACAATAATGGGTTAGATTTTATATTTAATACCTAATTATAACTGAATTATTGATATTTATTACATAATTATTACAACTAGGTGGGCAATTTCAACAATTACCACGTGCTTTGTCGAGTGGTCAAAAGGTTTGTGGGCAACTATGCGTAACTGATTTATATTTCAGTTACATAAAACTAAATTTTTATTTAATGATTTATGTATTTATAATTAGGTGTTAATAATTTTTAACAAAATGAATGCCTATTTAAACGCCAATGAAGTGAATGAGAGTTTCGTTGACCACAAACACAATCAAAGGACTCCTATTATTGTTAAAAACGGTTCATTTAAATGGGATAACAATTGCAACGATTCTGTGCTCAAGAATATCAATATAGAGATAGAGAGGCAGTCATTGGTGGCAGTTGTGGGTCGTGTGGGCGCCGGCAAGTCGTCCCTATTATCGGCTCTATTGG